CTTTTCTTTTTTTTTTTCTTTTTTTTTTTTTTTTAAGATCAAGCCATTTAAACCCACTTTTACACAGCTAATATCCTGAAATGCTTTGAAAGGGCTGAGCAACTCAGTACCTTGGCTTGGTCATTGTCCAGGAATGAGATACCTTCCCCTGTTCTTGTTTTCTATTGCCAGGGATCCTGAGAATACATCTCTGCAGAAAATGCAGTGACAGCCACAATTTATTTCTCTCCACTTCCCATGGAAGTGTTTTCATTTGCCAGTGTGTGAGCCAGTTTCGGCAATCTGTCCAAACTGTCTTTATAAAATCATACAGAAAAGGGTGTACAATTCATGGGACCAGAGAAAGTAAATGCTTCAGCAGCCTCTCAGAGTTATCTGCCTAAAACAGGGACTTCTGGATTCCAGTTCCTGTTCCTTGTACTGGGTTTTGCCAAGCAGTTCCCAAGTGCAAGGATGTACTCTCTTTACAAGCTATGTTATCTCTGGCAAGAAGCATAATCTGACAGCAGCGACCACAGCAGCTCAAGTCTCTCTGAACCCAGACTGCCATTATCCTGCTCTTCATCTCTGCTTCAGGCAATGTAATTCTACCCTGGCTCATATACTGTCCCCAGCACTTTTGAAACAAGGAGCTGTTTTCATTGAATTACATACATACATGCGGGGTTTTTTTTTGCTGTGTTAATTTCTGAGCCATCTCACCCCCTGTCACACACTTGCTCTTGGCCACAGGAGAAAACCCATGAGGATGCACAGCTCCCAGGAGCAACACCTCACGACGTCCCTATACTCAGTGTTGCCTGGTTAACTAGTTTAGCTAGTTGGCTGGTTTTAAAACATTTGTGGTATTTCTGGATCCTGTGCAATTCTCTGCATGCCATTGTTACAAAGCCTAGGTGACTAACTTACGGCTTGGCATTTTACTGCAGAGATTTAAATACCTGAAAGAGAGTATTTTTACAGCACACTCTTTTGAACCTAGGTTGTAGTGTCTGAATCAGGGTTAAAGTTCCTTGTTTCAAATCAGAAATTACAACCTCAGGCAAATCACCTAAACACTAACACTTTAGAGTAAAACCACTTATGAAAAAAGCATGGCTTTTGGGTATAGCTGCTTAAGAAGGAGAAGGATTCTAAATTTATTGACAGGAGAAAACAGTAAAAGTTACTTGCATGTGTAGCTATGAAGCAGGAGCTAGAAAAGTTCCTGTGCAATGACATTTAAATAAATGAAATCACTTAGTTTCTTTTTAAAGTAAGGCAGACATAGGCAACTCAGCTGTTTGTGCTTTAAAAAAAAAACAAACAAAACCAAAAACAACCATGGAGTAGTATTAGTCTGTTTGGTTACACTGAAGAAACAGAAACATATTAGTAAAAGTTAAATATATTTAGTATTTTGCTGTTTCTGTGCATGCTTTATATATATAAAAATAGGTACTTTGTAATAAGATATTCAAGTGGGTACTAAGATTTTTATGGAACACTCTTAACAATAGTAATGCTTCTCCGTGGGAGGAATTTATTAGTCAAATGAGTGGTAAAAACTAACATTTCCCATTCAAGATTAAAGCGCACAGACCCCTCTTGTGTGTGTAAGAAAAAGAATATAATATATCCAATGGCACCATCTGCTGACAGGTTCAGGGTGCCAAACCCTTTCGTGGATTTTCAGATATAGGGAAAAATACTGTACATTCAGACTTCACATATTTTAAAAAATATTATTTTTGGCGTGATTTTAAGGGGACTTCAGACTTGGTATTGCTACAAATTAGTTTTGTTTGAGATTAATTTTTTGGATAACGAGCTTTTGGTCTGATTCTTTTCCTTCTTCAAGTATTAGTCTGGAGTTCTTTTTTTGCTAGAAACTGTCTTGAAAGTGTCCTCGATGGGACAAGACAGGAAAAAGCATATCATTATGTGAAGAAAATTAGGCAATGTTGAATCAAAGCAAAGTGATCTCTTTTTTTTTTTTCCCCATCATTTTGTTTCAAAGTATCCTTATCCTGATATTTAGGTGGAAAAGAGGACATCAAGTAACTATGGAAAACCAGGCAGAATAACCAGCAATATTCTGTGAGTCACCATTAAATAGCATTTCTTTATTTTTCTTTTTTTCCCCGATAACTTTCTCCTATGGCTTAGGACACATACACTAGCAGTGCAAGTAATTTGTATCAATGCCTCTGTCAAAACATGGCAGGAGGGAAGCTGCCAGTGTGATTTCAAACACAGATTAGAAGGGAGCAGCTTGCAGTATGGGACATTCTGCTGGCAACCAAGGATTAATTCAGAGCTCAGACAAAAGTGACTATCACAAAGCTACCCAAGGCTTTAGGTTTAATAGTTATCATTTTATCACAATTTACAGCTGGTCTGGGCATCGGTGGGCAGTTCCTAAGCATCCACTGAGCACCTTTTACTATTATACTTTTCTTAATTTACAGAAGAGAACAAGAGCTGGTTTTACAGAAAGGCTTCATTTATGCAACTATCACATTGTTTAGTTGCAGTGTACACATTTTTCTCTGCTGCCAGGAATTTGGTGGATTTTGAACAAGGTTCTGTTGAGCAGACTGACTGCTGCCTATCCGAGGGGTGCCTCTGTAGCAGATGGCGTGTCCCTTTACCCTGCTTTGTTCTCACCTGTCTGTCCTTGTACTTCCAGCTCTTTTACAGAGAAGTCTGTGCTAGAAAAGCAAAGCTATCTAAAGAAACAACCAAAGGAAGCTTAAAAGTGTGGGGGTTTTGTGATGGTAAGATGCTCCAATTCAAAGCACTTGTACACTCCTGTTGCACAAAAACCTGATTTTTTTAAGACAAAATAATTTGAATGATATACACTTCAAAGAAAATCAGTTTCAAGTGCATTTATTTTGAAATAAGAATATTATATGCATATATTCATATTAAATAATTTATTAAACATAAGAAAAAAATACTCTTAAAAACTAATCTGACACTTTCACATTCTATTTTATATTAGGTGACTATAGTTAAGTATGTAGACAAACAATAAAATTGTCTCAAGCCAGCCATAAAAGCAAAGTGCACTATTGCCTAGGGCAGTGGAGGAGCAAAACGACGATGGTGCTGCCGCTTCCCCCATGGGAAGGATCACTGTGAGTGAGCACCAGTGAATGGAGAGGAAGCAGGGGAACCCCTTCCATAACTCCCTATCCTCTCTTCCCACTATTTTGTCCTTCATCACTGAAGTACCAAGTTAGGTTTTGCATGTGCTGACAAGAAGCAGTGAAACAGTTCTGCGTACCAGGACGATACATCGAATATAATTCATTCCCTAACTGATCACACAGGGATTGCAGCTTATCCATGTTCTCTTGTGTCTTCATCCCAATTTATTTCATTTTTCTTGTTAGTTTAAGGACGCCAAGGTGGAAATTTGGTATGTATTTATATTGAAATATTAGCTAAAGTAGCATCTTTCAAAAAGCTTTTTTAGATAAATGCCACAACTAGCACATTTTTTTTTTCCCTCAGAGTGGCATTTCTTAAAAAAAAAAAAAAAAAAATCTTCATTTTTTTTTGATTTTTAGCAGAGATAGGTCTTGTTATAAATTAAACATTTCTAAACTTAGGCATGCTTACATAGATATTATACAGCTTTTCTATTCACATGATGTAAGATGGTATTTGAGCAACATGTGCCTTAAATACAATCTTGGAAAGTTTGCTTACAGGTATTTGGAGTAATAAAAGATTTAAAACCATTATTTTGGTTCTATTTTAATTGTTAAACTCCGCCAAATATTTGCCTTCTGATAACAATTTACTGAAGTTATTTTTGTTGCGTGTGTATTCAGCTAGAAATATTTCAGGGCACAGATTGTTCCTAAATAGGGTCAGACTTATTTATGTCCAGTGAACCTTTTCAAGAAGGGTGTAAAAAAATGTGTTTGTGTGTGTTTGGGTTTCATTCACACTACCTAACAAACATCTTGAAAGGGAGTAAGGAAGAACATTGCTGCTGAATAGCAAAGAAAAATTTAGAGAATATGAAAACCAAACGTAACAGTGCCCTCACCACTGTTTCAGTATCAGCTAAACCTACAGGGCATGAAAGGTCATGGAGGCCACCAACTGCCTGTGGTCTCCATTACCCAAGGCCCAATTTATGTCTAATATTCAAATAATGTTACTTAGTGAGTGTTGCTCTGTACTGCTGCATGCATTTGTGTTCTGTTTTGCATTTTTTGTTTGACAATACCAAGTTATTTATCTATTTTTCAGACACTGCATTCCAGAGTAGCAAATTAGACAACTGTAATTTCTACCCAGTGCCATGTCTTACTGCATATAAAAGTGCACTACTCACAAGAAACACATGAAGTTTTACTCTACCAAAACTATACCAGTGAATTTATACATATGGCAATAAAATTTATAATAAATATTAAAAAGTTTGTTACTTAACGTGAAATTAAACATTTTTACTTTTTTTCAACATACTGCTTGTAAGACATTCTAAGATCTGTACTACTTTTTTTAAAGGATAAATTAAAAAACATAACAGTAAGACTTGGAGAATCAGAACATTATAGTCCATACAGTACTTTTCCTAGGTAAATACCTATTATTCACATTATAACCATAACAGCTTTACCCTTTTTAAAGTAACAGCTTCAACTTCTAAGAATTTAATTTGTACATCCAGCTCATAACAACTGTTATGTTACTTGGTATATTCTCATTCCCAGTTTAGCACAAACTTTTAATAGTGCTCTGATGAAAGCAAATTCACAGTCTAAGCTGATGCAGGCAATTTCTCTTCATTGCCAAAACATTTGCCTACCCAGGTGTAAAACTTATTTTTGTTTTCTTTTAAATGACAAACATATCTCAAAAAATAATAAAAATAAAATAAAACATAATATTCAATATGTGTTCTTAAAAAAATACTTCTGCCAATCAGGTGATAGTTTGTAATTTAGATAAAATACATAACAAAAAGCAGTTTTAAGAGTCAATGATCACTCCTTTAAGTGGAAAAGAAGTCCTGCAGGTGGAAGATCTATGATTCACCCAGGTTAGTTTGTTCTCCACTAAAAATTCATAGGAATAAATAGTTCTAACCAGTGCAGATATTCCTTCTTTGTTCTTTTATCTCAGCATATCTCGTCTCCGAAATTGCTTCCACAGATCTCTGAGGTGTTCACTGGTTACAGTCATCACACAAGAGTAATATTCATTCCAACCGTACTTTGGAGTCTCCTGTGAAAAGTGAAAAACATACAATTGGAAAAAGGCATTGCTCACTAAATTCCCTAATGTTACATTAAATTTGGCTCAGACTCATACAAACTAGATATATGTTCTAATATTAAAATCATGAAAGATCAAATGCTTCTATATCTTAGAAGAAGTACTTCTATAAGATGAAGGCTATAAATCCATCCACAGGTTAAGTATTCAGAATGCATCCTCACCTCAGAGCACACAGCTAGCATTCAACAAATAGCCTACGTATATATTAAAAGCTGTAAGAAAGGATTTCCTCTTTATTCAGGTATGTCCTGCTCTCTCTCTAGTTTTGTTTCTTGCTTCTTCATGTCGACACTGGACTAAAAAATTCACCTCTAACACCAAATATAGAGCACAGAAAATTATTGATGTTAATGAAACCAAGACATTAGCAAAAGCCAAATACAAAGTAGGCAGAAGGCATCTTTACACTTCATACTTTATACTAGGTTACCTTAAAACTAAACTGCATTGTAGTTCATTGACATCAGTAAGTGCCCACTGAATGGAGAGGAATATTGGCCAAAGGCAGGTCTGGGAGATTCACTAGACTCTATGCTGTCTGTAGTTATCACTGGATCTCACTATTTCTGCTGCTATTCCTAACTCCACAAGCCTGCTTTGATAGGAAGTACAGAAAGATGAAGAGGGGCTAAATACTACATCAGCTGGGGAAAGAGGCTAAGTAAGGAATCGGAATTGTAACTGTAGATAAGTCAGAAGCATTTACAAGTAATTTTAAATTGTAATCCATTTTAGAAATTAAGTCCAGTATCTGGAGGTAAATCGTTACAGTGTCAAGGTGAGAGATTGTCTGACAGATTGTATTTGTTGAACTGAGTGAAAAAATGAGAAGTATTGCAACACTGCAGTGTATTAAACCCAACCATTAGAGAGTAAAGTCTGCTCTCCGTTTATTCTTACTACTTGCATAATTAAAAAGCACATTATGCAGAAGCTGTAAAGATTCAGAAAACAATCTAATCCACAGTGGTATATCATAAAGACTTTAAATGAAATCTTAGAAACAATACTTATATGAATGCATAATTTAGTTGAGTAGTCAACCTTATGAAAAAAAATCCGTTACTTGCAAAATGCATTGTATTATTTCACACAGGCACAGTCAGCTCATTAACCAGTGACTTAAGTGTATTCATCCTTTATTTTATGGGACAGGTTCAGGCAAACGTTCATGAAAAACAGTAAAAGAAACAGTGAAGTACATTAGCTGTTTATCTGCTTATTTCTCATGTATGCATTGTTGTATCTACTCTCAGTGTACAAATCCATAGAAGGAACACTGTATCCACATACACTGCAATGCTGTCACATTTCACTGGAACATTTTCCTCCCACTGTATCCAGCTATGTTTTTAAGGTTCTAGTCAGGTTTGGGATCAAAAGTTTGGGTTCTGTAACTTCCAGTTACCTTTGTAAGATGAGTAACTAAGGTGTGCCTATCATACGCTTCTGACTGTATCTGCTTTAGAGGAGGTAAGAAACAGTCTCAGTGAGTAATCAACAGCTTCTTCAGCTTGTTTATTATTTTGAAAGCTATCTCATATGATAGATGTATTCAACTGCTGTATATTAGGGAAGTTTAGAAATTAAAAGCTTTCAAAATATCAATTACGTGACAAATCTTAATCACATTTGACTGAATAAATAAGTTAAAGAAGACAGTAATTTTGTATTGAAACATGACTGGAAATGAGGTTCTGAATCCATGCTTCAGTCTTTCATGTCTTTCTCAAAATTAAATTTCTTTCCTAGATCAGTTCCAAGACATTGGTTTTAACTATTAACTATTACTTCCTAAAAACCTTCCATCAGAAATTTAGAAACCCCACAAAATTCATAATATCTAGACAACAGTTCGTTTAATAAAAACACTACTGACACATACAACTTAATTTCTGGATTTACAGTTGTGACATATAGTATTTAATTTCTATATTTAGAAGTGAACAAAACTGGAATGATAGCTTAAATATCTATTACAGTTACTGAGCACATCAATAGTTTAGCGAACACTACTTTCAGATGGACTTGAATCTCTCCTGAAGTTGGCCTCTATCATCCTTCTTTGGAAATTAACTCTGAAAGGGTGTTGTTAGAAATCTCCTAGTTAACCCTTTGATAAGGCATTCAAGGTGGAGCTCTCCTCTCAGCTCTGTTTGGCAATTCCCTGCTAACACGTTTTCTCTGCTCTCCCTACAGTACAGGCAGAGGAGCACCTGCCGACGCCCAGTCAGGCTGTGTGCCCTGCAGGGAGAGACAAACTCTCCACTAACACTGCCAGCTGTTTGGACCACACAGAGTCTGTACAGTTGTTCCCCAAGGAAAGATTTTCATTATTTACTGGGGGGGGTATAACATTCTTTATCCTGTTAAGTAAATTGCATTAGTGCAGTTCAGACATATGGAATGTACAACACGCTGTCCCTTTTCGGGTTGCAGATTCAAAGCGTGGTATTATCTATGGTACATATGCCAAGTATCTTAATCACTTTCATCAGAGTTCTGTGTTTACCACAAAAAGTATCTCAAAGCACAGACAACGATCTGTACATTGATATTTGGAACAAAGTAAATTTAGAAGTCATTGTATTGTATCTAACTTCGGGATGTAATTGCAGCAGATTTTTGTATTTCACATACATTTATATGGGTTTTTTGTACCTCAGACTGAAATTCAATTACCCAATTGAAATTGTTCAGTTTCAAATCTCTGATGTTTCTGCCTTTATTATCTTTTCAACTCATAAACTAAATAAAAAATAATTATTTTTTAGAATTATGTAAAATTACTTTCACTGCACACTACGACAAAGACATAATTAGTTCCGTTCTCCTCCACAGTAACTAACTCCAAATCACTTCACGTGTACTCTGGCTAAACTTTCCATTTCCATTACCTGACACTTGCAACAAACTTTAATTTTACAACACATTTGAAGAAATACTGTCAGTTAAGTAGCGCTTTGCACAAAAAGCAATTCATAATAGCTAACAACTGGGTATGTTACTGTAATTCATCATAAGTGACAAGGAGCAGTTGCTCAAGTGAAAAGCAGTGGCTGACTAATGGAGGTATGTTCCCTCTCCCTTACTTATCTTGCACAGAGATCTACAAAAGGAAAACATCAGTGAGACTGGGGAGCTGGTGGGGTACCAGTCTGGGTAAACTGATCTCACCTCTCATCCTTACAGACTTAGCTTTTCCACGGTGCTGGAAGCCAGCCATCACCCCAGATAAACAGGATCCGAGAAACTTAGTGTACCTACATTCTTTGGTTTCCTGACATGCTGTTCCAGAGTTAGGGAAGAAAGACTTAAACGAGGCCCAGCACACTCAGTGACCTATACAAGTGCTCAGAGGCATGACAGGAAAGGGGATCATTCAGAAGGTCCGACACCAGTATGCTGTTGTATGGAGCCATGTGAAGATGGTTATTTGGCAAGAAATCTCCGCTTAATATTGTGTCTCAGAATTAAAAACAAGCGAATGACAGTGAAACCCTCCTGGCTCAGGAGGGTGTGAAACGTGCTGGCTACTGCACGAGGAGCACTCGCACCAGACTGCTGGCTATAAGGCCTTGTTTGTCATGGCATATGACAAGCTTTATTCTTCCCCACTGCAGAACAATACATCTGGGACCTACTTTAGCTTTTAAGTCTTTGTACCAACTACTGTAACGTCTATAAACAGGAAAAAAGTGCTGGCACCAGAACCTTAAATAGCAAAGGAGCAAAATCTTGCTTCATGTAAGAGGGGAAATGTCTGCTAATGAGTGTCTGCTGTGTCCTTTGCATGACAGTTTCACAATACGGCTCCAGAATATCCACAGCACAGCTTTTACACTGAAGCCCACAGTACAATCTACTTTTAAGAATGAATATTCATGTGGAAGATATGCAGAAACTGACACAGTGATCATGTGTGGGCACAGTGCCTATTTTTCCTGATATAGCTTTAATAGTGCCAAAAATACATTACTGTTTTCAAGAGCGTAACTATAAATCAGAGTAGAAACAAGTGAGTAACAGTCTCTCAGAAAGAAAGATCTGCCTTTACAATTTTCATTGGTAAATACTAATAGCTATCTGAGAAATTACTGAAAAGTGGTCACAGGACAGACAGAAAACAGCAACGGAAACTATGCAAGATTACTTTTCCCTATTCCAAACACCGTACAAGATCGCAGCTGGCTCACAGAACAGTGACAGCATGAATCACTCGTTGGCAACTCCAGAATAAAATGTTATCACTTCAGGCAAAACCACAACGTGACAGTTTGAGCTATTACATCGCTTACAGCCGGAGAACCCATTCTGGGATTTTGGACCAGGGAACACAGCAGTGACAGTGCAACATTCAGCCATTCCTGCAAGCATGCCAGCACACTCACTGGGCGGCCAACACATACCGTCATTTATCTGCTATAGAGTTCCTTCCTCACGCAGGATTTGAAAGTAGTGTACCTCTGTATAGGCTTGTAGCCCTGTGGAGCAGAAGATGGAGAAGTGCGCAGATGCAGACAACATGTGGAGGCAGCCAGAGGTAAGCATAAGACCACAGTATCATGAAAATACAAAAAATGGGTTTTCAGTGACAAATAGCTAGAAGATACAGTATAGTATGTGGTAGGTAAAATGTTTATCCTTCAGTCATTAAGTTCCAAATCTTTCAGTTTAAAAATGGGATTTATACAGGAAAGGGAATCTTCTTACAAATTTTTAAATTTTTTAAAAAAGTGGAACTATTTTAAACCAAATTGCAAACAAATAAAGCATGTCTGCACATTTTGATAAGTTTATGGCAATACTTTGAATGACCGCTTGATGGCAGCTCAATATACTAATTTGTTTAAAGCTAATAAAACCAAAAAAGGTTTCAGATTATACTACTATATTCCAGACAGACATTTTATTTAATAAACTCTTCAAGAGATTTACTTTTTTTTTAAAAAAAAAGTGGATCTAAAAAATATATTAAAAAGAAAATTTATTATGTGCCTATAAGGGGTAGCAGCTGACCTTCTACAAGTTTCTAAGTTTATGGCTAAGCTTTTGAGTAGGACAAAGCTGGTCATTACTGGCTGATCTTTCAGATTTCCAGTTGCATTTGGCTTGTATAATTATTTGCTCTTCAGTATCTTTGCTTTTGTCACACTATGTAACTAAAAAATGCCCTTTTGTAAAATACACGGTCCTAGTACCAAGCTCTGCGATTTTTGCCCTCAAAATTCTTCTGGGCAAACTTTTTAGTAAAACATTTTTTTTTTTAGAATTTGAATGACTAAGTAATTGTAAAATCATGCTTGGAGTCATAGGCCTATTTTAAACTGTTATTTTTAGACATTTTTAGAGTGATTAATCAGAGACTACATTGATTTGGGCAGACATTAATTGTAGGATACTTAACATTAAAATCAGGTATTTACACTTTATAAACCGATTCAAATTTCTCATGGCAATAATTTCCATATTGCTACAAAATACTGTGTAAGCAGAAGCTATAATGTTCTTTTATCTGTATAATGGAACTGACCAAATCTTAATATGAAACAGTTATTCACAAAGAACAGGTGAGTAATTTGTTAGTTTTGGTTTAACACAAGACAGCATTTGAACCTTACACATTTGTAGGAGCAAGAGGTTAAACTTTTACTTGTTCTGGCCACACTTTTTTTGTAACTTTTAATGTACAAAAAAGTGGAAGCAATTAATGTCTCTTTCTGCTCATTTTTTCTGGGCAAGATGTTCTTACATGTTTTCTTCTTTTCACTCTAAACCAAGACTGGTGTGAGTAGGGAGTACTTACTGAACTGAAAAAGCAAATTTTTGCAGAGTATTTTCTACTACACACTCTTGGAAAAATCAGGTTTACGTGACACTTATGAAAGTTTACTGGAAATTGTAATGTCTAAGTTTGGTACTGCAATTGTCATGGAAGACTACTGATCAGTGAAAATAATGCATTTTTCTGAACAATCTAACAAGTCTGTATGTAGGCAAGTCTAAATAGAACAATTATAGGGTCAAATCATGATCATCTCCTATGCAATCCAGGAGATATATTTAATTAAAATAAGACATATAATTTGTGAAAGATGGTTGGCTATTCTTTATAGTCTATTAGAATATATTATAGTGGCCTGGGCAAAAGAAAGATACGTGCATAAGACTGAGTAGTGCTGGACACTATGGATTTTTAAGGATTATGTGTGGTTTCTGTCATGCATTTTGTGAAATTGAAACGTAATACATTTACAAGAATTACTTAGTAAGCAGACTGTTTTCTGTTTAACATACACTGCACACTTACAATTAGTAAACAATTAAAACATATAGCTGAACATCTTGAAACGGTTATGAAACAATCATCATTCCCACACCATAATAAAAGGAATTGAGGACCAACAAGGAAATAAATTTGTTACAAATGCAGTGGTTGCTATCCACATTTTACATTTGACCATAATATTACAAAAATAACAGGTAAACTGTTAGACTAAACACCATTTCACAGAAAGTTCTAGAATTATATTTAGGAAGCTAACTAAAAATGACTAAAATTACATTACAGAAATAACATACTGAAATGTCAATTTAGGAACCATAATACATTTTAAGATTTATATCAAAGGGATGAAGTTGTCAGTAAGGGCACCATTTTACATTTAGTTAAAAATGTTAGTATCTGACATATGAAGAAAAAAATGTTACTTTTACTGATCATATGCTAATAAAACATTTTCTGCTATTACAAAATTCCTCTGTACTACAGAGAACCTTGAGAGGGCAGCACGGCCTATACATTCACCTAAAAGGCAAAGCATAATTTTCAAGCTTGTTCCCTATGAAAATTTTCTGCAAGTAATTTCCTGCCCTCTAGCTTCTGTTGATTTAATGTATTAGATACATGGTTAAATTATCAAAGGTAGCTTTGAACCAGAATATAGCACTGTTCAGCACAACTTCACAAATTCTTTATTTGAAAATTAAAACTACCTTTCACAGCAACTCTTCCCAACAGTTATTACCAACACTTGGTACGTTAAATGTTTTAGAAGAGCCACTGTTTGACCTTTAACTAAATTGCCTGAGTTTGAGAGAGATAAACTCTCTTTTCCTTGCAAACCCAGACATAATCGCTACCATTGTTATAATTCTTAACGCCTATCTATTAATCACACAATACAGAAGAAATGACAGCATGCAGAGGATTTCTCATCTCCATTTGGCATGTGTACTATAAAGAACTATATGTTCTCCATGTATTGCTTTCTAATTAAAAAAAAAACAGGCAATTAAGAAGGAATTTGTCTTACAGACCACTTCAAGATTTCTATACAGCTTACACCTTTAAACATATGAACTGTTGGTTTGCAACTTACTGGTGCTGCAGGTGCTAAAGTAATGGTAAATAGTGAAGTCAGCGAAGATAACTACAAAAATTAGAAACCTTACCCTAAACCCTCGATTGAGTCTGTCTTTCATAATGCCGATAAATTCCTTATAACTCAATTGGTCATCTCTGTCCACATCAAAAATCTTGAACACTGTGTTCACTAAATGTGGTGAAAGCTTCACGCCTGTGGCTACATACACAGCACGTTTGAATTCATCTGCACAAAGAGAACATCGGCAGAAAAAATAAAATGCATTAATTTAATCCTACTTGATGGACAATATATTATGAAATGCGAGTAAACATTCACGTTTTCACATTTAAACACTCAAAAAAAAAGAAAATGTGAAAGTCAGGACTGAATTTCACAGTTCTAAATGAAGTAGTTCTCAACTGATATAAAATGCTAATGCTTAATTGGTATCAATTATTTTACACAAAAGACAATAGTCCATATACTATACTATGTATAATAGCAAAATTAGAAAATCATGTTACAATTAAATACTTAGATTTAATTGTAACATGATTTAAGTTACATATATACTGATGGCATCTACTTAATTGACACAAAACAGAACCTAAGAAACAGAGCAGAGATAAAAGAGCATACTCCTTTGTCAAGGCTGCATGAGGTAGGACTATGCTGGTGTTACTGTGTCAGATCCATGAAGATGCTACCTGAGCAGAGCACACAAGCCTGATGGCTTCACACACTCTTCACCTTGTACTCCCCAACCATCCCAACTGTTGTATTAAGGATTTTAGTCAGTACATACCTGCTTAGTTCTTTCAGCTCCCACTTACTGATATGTTCAAAAATCTGTCTAAACCTTCTTTGGACCTTCTGACACTGTTACCTTCTACGGCCTTTGTAGAAGGCCAAATTCCAGACATCCGCCGTGTAAAAGAAATGCTTTTGTTTGCTTTGAACTGATCTCTCATTGGTGTAATCAAGTGCCTCAACTCTTGTATTGCAGGATTTGGTGCATTCAGCTTATCTACCACTTCTATGACTTGGTAAAGCTTTATCACATCTCTTATGATATGACTGAGCCTTTCCCTCCTAAATCTGGAGTCCTAGTCTTTTTAGCCTTTTACCTGAGACATGAGAACTACAAACAAGGAAACAAAACACTTTTGTATTTTTGTCAACAGTTCAAAACATTTTTGTGTTTTTGTCAACAGTTCTGAATCTTTATCAACAGATGCTTATAAAAATATACATACTTACTTACCTTGACCTATGGAACGACTTGCAAAATTATACATCTGCATTGCAATTGCAAAGTCTTCTAGGTTGTTCAAGAACTGGAAAAATGATCTAAACTCATCAAATGTGATACCCTAGAAAATAAAACAACAACATCCACCTTAAGAATTATCAATAGTGATGACAACTGAATAAATAAACTTTGCAGTTACATTTGTCTACTTCATTTAAGAATAGATGCTACACCCACTGAAAAAATAGAGATTTGTACTGAAAGACAATAAAGAATTGGAGTCTCCTGAGGAATGCAAGATGTCTTTCCTCTTTGCTACTGCAATGGATAGCAATTCTATTCTCACCCAAAAAGCAGTCAAAAATATTGTTCCATAGCTTAAAGCAATCTTTAAGAATTCCAGTATTATTATGATATGGCAGTTAATACTGAGAGTAAGAGCCTAGGGTTGCACGAATATTGGAATATGCTTAATACTGAAAACCTGCAAACCACTATTATATATATATTTATATATATATATGTGAGTGTGTGTGCTCACATAAATACACTGAATGAATTCATAAACGTGTTATGATCTAATTTAAGCTTTGTACTTTAAGGTGAAGTTTTTTCATATCCAGATTTAGACACCTAAATCTCTTCAACTGATACTCTCAAGTATTAAGTACTGAAGGGTTTGTCCAGCTATTTAAAAAATTCTTTTGCGTTTTGACCCAACTTCAAAATACCTTCTGTGAAAGTTTCACGAAAAGTGCTGTTGTTGAAAGACCTTGTTTTTTCTTCTTTCCCCATGATATTTGCAAAATACCTAGAATGGTGGAACACCAGTCCCCAGCTAGAATGCTCAGTTACTATCGCAAAATAGCAACAATAGAAAATGGCTATCAAAATCTTGAGCTGACATTTCAGGTTCACAACGATTTTAAAAATGCTTAATTTGCACCAATTGGTCTGTAAAGATTCTGAATGTGGGCGATACTGTAGGAGGTCAGGCTACTGCAAAAATCTTGGCTCTTTCCATGTAACTAGAGAGGAGATTATTAGACTAGAGGGAAAGTATCCCTTGAATATAGGTAAGGCTTAGAACCACTGGTCTTGCAGTTTCTGTTTCCAGCAGTGACTAAAAACTGCCGCCCTGAGTTGACACTGAAGATGAAGCAGGGAGATAAAGGAGCTGCACCTGCAGTCCATGGCTAAATTGTACATACTCCATAACATTTTAGCAATGAGAAAAATATCTGACTTCACTTAAGAGTTCTGCAACTTCTGCTGAAATCACCTGCAATCATACATGTTTATTTCCACTCAAGGAAAAACAACAAAGGACACGAAAGAGGCAGAAGGGCAGGCAAAAAAGAGAGATGGGCATACAGCATTCTACTATCTCTATCCTTTCCTACAATCATATTTTGTTCAGCTGGTAACTGTAATAACATTTTTTATTTGCCATACATTTTGCATTTTGGCATAGGAAGTTCTCTATGTGTAGTTATCCCAGAAGTATCCTATTGGAAACTATTTATTTTCTGTATAAAAAGAAATCAACTTTTTAATTTATTTGGACAGATTATATTTTACCACAGCAAAGAAAACTGTTATGTTAATGCACCAGTGCTGTTAAAAATGCATAGACTTTCTTCAGTAATTCAAGATGCCATCTTAAATGAATCACTGCTTGGCATCTAGTTAGTAAAAGGAGGGGAGCACCCTGCGAGCAGGCCACATGCCAGCTGAACGTTTTAACATGCCTGCAGTACACCACATGATCACCATGTTGCTTTAGAGGCTTCTACGTACACCATGAAAGATTAACACTGCCAGCTGTGAGAGTAGCTGCCTATTAATTTACAGGCTAGATAAATTTTACTTGTAAGTGCAATCCTTTAGTTTGTATTAGTACTGCACCATATCACTGTCACAGAGAGCACATGTGACATACAGATACATGGCACTGGTCAGGTGCCAGGATATTCCCAGAATGCAGCATAAGCAAACCTGTAACTGAGTGATCCAGCTTTCTACATGGAAGTTTGCCTTAGCTGATGTTCCCACCAGAGATCAAGAAGGTGAAACTACTGTAAAGACTTGCTATCAGAGCAGTGGCATTGGAAGACTTAGAGATGAACTTCAAAGAGTACTTTTTTGTATTTAAAAGTGTCTGCACTTACACTTACTGGATCAAATAACTATCTCTCTATACCTACAACTGTCATTATTTTTCAGTTACCCGAGTGATACTTAATATCATTGTTGTTATACAAGCCCCAAAGTAGTGTGTTCCCCCCCCCCCCCCAATTTCCCCCTAAACAAGGAAAAAAACATCTAGGAATTACGCAAAAAGAGCTTTATACCACTTCTGTCGCACTGCCTTGGCTTTGAATATTGAAAGAGTTTTAGACCTTTTACAGTAGTTAGAACTGAGAGCCTCAGCAACTAGACCAGGACCTCAGAAAGTGTTGTTGAACAGGAACTTTCATCTCAATCTTACTCCTTCATTTTACACCTCATCTCATGCAAGACAGACAGCCTTGCTTTCCCTTTCCACTCCCCAGCTATATTTACCTCTCAGTGGACTTAACTGCTCTACAACCACAGGAAGAATCAGATAATCCACATATCTGAACAGAAAACCCTTGAATTTTGACATGTTTCTATCAGGTCAGCTGACTGATCTTACACTGTAGACTGAAATTACAATGTAATTCCTCAAATAAAAAAACCAAAACAAAACACCAAAACCACACCACAAAACTGTCCAAGCCTATTTATTACTTTTCTTCACAAGCTCTGCTGTCAATGCTATTAAAATATGTAGCTACTGAAAGAGTTAGATTTCTAGGGCAGATTAATCTGATCTCCTTCTGTAAACACAAACAGAAGCACTATATATCCAAAGCATCCCTTATCTGAAGGGCTACTTTTAACGCTATCCTGTTGATTTTTATTGCATAGCTAATGCAGAGTTGCCACTACATTTCACTCAGGTACAATTCTGACAACAAACCTGCTGATAAACAAATGAAGGACTATGTACCTCATGACCATTACTGCTTTTATTATCCGTCTCTTTGGCCATTAATAAGAACCCCATACCCATCAATAATTGCATACAAGTGATCCATTCTTAAGACTATACAACAACTAGATAAAGGGCATCAATATTATTTCTGAAGAGGTGCTATTCCAGTGGCAGTGCAAAATAGAGGAATAAAAAGGGGTTTTAATGCCTCATTTCTACAATTTTTTTTTTTTCCAAGTCTTATGGCTTTTGCTGTTTACACTGAATTTTCATGTAATATAAAGTTTTGTTATCTAAATTATAAAAATATTACTACCTAAATCAAATAGAACATAACTCTATTTACTCTTCTATTTTTAGTAATCTGAAAAACATAAGACATGCAGTTTATGATCGGAATAACAACCTGGTGCTAATTAATTCAGTGACAGAATCTCATGAAGTCCAACAAGACAATGTTTTCATCTTGATGACACTAGGACTGGATGCTGTGGCCCACTGCTGTCCTAGCTAAACAATTACCTTTTCTTCAGGAATCCTGCAGCGCATGTTTTCCAGGTAACTTGATGTATTTTCCACATTTGTATACCTCAAAAGAATATGGGCAAAGTCTTCCTCACTGATGGTGTTCATCCCATTAGAGTAGGAAAGGAATTCTATCTCTAGAACCTCAGTTTGTAGGTTATCCATAAATCTAAAGCATAAACATAAATATGAAGAAATAGTAATACTCTATATTTCTACTATTCATGTCCTTAAGAGACTCACAGAATATAAAGTAAAGTAGCATTATACAAATTAGTTCCCTTTTTGTAGCACTGATTGCATATTTGGTAAATTCCTTACCTATGTTGACATATTTTCTAATCAATACAACAATCTTAACTCAAAAGATTAATTGTTATAGTAAAGATTAAAATAACTTAATACTTATACTTCTAATTTACTTCTCGTTTGTGTTTGCTTACTTTTCTTCTTCAGTGGGTCACTGATCTTATATATGCTAGACTGAAAACTGTATAAAACCAGCTATATATATATAAAAAAAAAATAACTTCCCTGAGTCTGCTTGTTGTGGTTTGAGGCTTGGA